TCCTCCCTGAACAGCTTATCGCGGTGAACGAGGTGGAGTTACTGCTGGAACACCTAAACCGGAATAAGGCTATGGGGCCAGACAAACTACACCTTGGCATAGTGCATCTGCTACCTCGCATCATTTCAGATGCCCTGGCATATCTGTTCAACCACTCCCTAGCCTGAGCAACGCGGTCGACCGACTGGTGGTGACCAAGTGGCTAGGTCACCACTTAGTGACCGGGGTGTCCCGGGTTCAAACCGCTCCACCACCGCCCGTCTTCCCTATATATCTGTATTTTCCCCAGGCAGCCTTTGTGTATGGCCGCAGCCCCCTTCCTGAAAGTTGACTGTAAATTTGTATATATTCAACAAATAGAAAAAGGAAGTAAAAATACATTACATGATTTATTTACACCTTAGCTCACAACCGTTATCAACAGATTATCTCTCTCTCTCTACCGTTATTTCATTTGACCTAGCCTTGACTATCGTTAATTAGCCTTGTCACATTCGCTTACGCTAGTCACTAGGCTTCTGTCTTTGTTACAAACTGAATTGCAATCGACCAATCAGATATCTATAATATGATCGCGTTATATTTGTATTCACCTGATGCGATAAATTGAAAAGCGATTTTTTTTTCTCCAAAACACCGTTTTCTGTTTTGTCTTTCGGAATAGTCTACAAATTTAGAGCACGCTGAATGTGTGGAAGATGCACAGACGGACAAACAAGTTCTGCTACCCCTTTTTTGTTTTGTTTTGTCCATTTGTAAACGCAAGCTGCACAACTGGGTGTGGACTAGTCCGGCTAAATGTCCCGAAATTGGCTTTAATGGATTGTTTCTCCTACCTAGGCAGTTACGTCACGAATGATGGTAGTACAGTAAAGGAAGTAACCACATGCGTATCTGCCATGGTACCCATGTGGAGTCAAATCGGGCGTTTATTCTGCTGCTGTGTGACCTCATTTCGGATTTACGGTTGCGTGTGTGGAAGTTACCTAGAGTCTGGGTATTGTCGATCCCCTGGGGTTAAGTCGTTCGGTGCAGATGTGATGGAGCACATGCAAGCCGTCGAGTCTTGGTGAAAGTTTGGGTAGAAAATTCGTTGCCTCACCGAATTCGAATGAGTAGACTTCACTGGTCACTCTTATACGTCAAGTCTGGGGAAGATCACACTGAGGTCAACAGATGATAGGGAAGCGAGGCACGACCACCAAATGCACAGAGCATTCAGATCCGGTTGGTATTCTGTCTTTAAGATTGGGATCCCAAAGACTGTAATTGGTTGGTACGAGACACTGGAGTACATGACAGCGAATCGCCCGCAGTGGTGTCCTTGGTGTCAAAATGATTCAGCTGTTGATTGTACTCCCCCCGCACCCTCACTGAAAACAGGCCCCACATCCGTATCCAACTTAACACATATTTTCCTCTTCTGCAAACATTGCGTGCTTAACATGGACGTTTGCATGGCTGTAGTTCTTGTACAACGACGACCAGGATGATGATGATGATGATGATGATGATGATGATGATGATGATGATGATGATGATGATGTGAGATGATGATGATGATGATGATGATGATGATGATGATGATGATGATGATGATGATGATGAATGATGATGATGATGATGATGATGATGATGATGATGATGCTTATGATGATGCTTATGATTTGTTCTTCTCTATTGCGAATACATGTTCATAACTATTTCATGTCTCTTAATCCTATTACCTCGTATTTGTACAGGCGACCAGCCAGATCAACCCCTTTAGCGTAAACCTTGAATAGAAGAAGCTAATCGGAACTTGGGATTTAGTCTCATGTCCATGAGAATGGTATTTCGGTTTAATTTTAAGACAACATACAACTTAACTGATCGCCCTCATGGTTTGTTCTTTTCTGTTCAGGTTATGTGCCTCGTTTGCCACAAGGTGATGACCCAACGTAAACTGGACACGATCAAACGACATACTGTTCGACGTCACGTGGAATTGTTAGGGATGCCGGAAATTGATCGACAAAATTTGTTCGAGCAATTAATCCGACAACACAATTTGATGAGCAGTGTGGAGACATCGACCGTCCCGACAACTGTCACATCGCGAACCAGTCGTAAAACTCCGGATGCAATGAAACTGGGTCTGGAGAAGGATGGTTCTGAGTCACAACATGTGGCTCATCCCCGCACTGTAGACAATTCGTCGTGGCAACCGGAAATTATGAGTCAGATCAGTTCACTTGCCGCGACGCAGCCCATTTCATCCACGGTGGGGTTGGGTGCTCGAGGCCCACCGGGGAGAGATTCATCCACCCGGATGAGTTTGAATGCGCGCGGTGGCGACTTTGGTTTCTCTTCACATGCCGGGAATGTGGAACTTGAGAATGGACCATCGGTTCCAACGAGTTTGCCACCTCTGGGACCGGGAGGAGTCGAATCGGCCATGTTCGGACCGCATCATATGTTCAAACGTGCGTTCGAAGAATTGTTAGCTGAAACTCAGCATGCAAACTCCGCCGGTTCGGGGACCCCAGTCACTCACACAAATAAAGATTCTACCAAGACATTAACATCTATTTCACCCAATCATTTACCTAGTCCATCATTCCCTGGAGGTCTACCATTCTCTAACCCACTATCCCCTACCGCTATTCAACGAACCGCAATGAATTATTCTAAAGCGAACTCCGTAACCTCATCGTTCAGCCAACTTTTGGAACAGTTGGCTCACAGTCGGAACAAATTTCCCCCGTCTGAATCCCGACCGAGTCCACCGAGTGGTCGTTCCACTACCAGTTCAACTGGACCCATCATTCCAAGTCTGAACCCATTCCCCGGGCAATCTGATCCCATTGGACGAGGCCCCGATCCGCTGCTTGATGGGCATACACCTAGTGCACATGATGAACGGTTCTCTCATTCCGCTCTAAAAGCGGAAAGTAACTCGTCTTATTCCGGCAGACTGCCTCCCTTATCATCATCATCATCATCATCTGGCACAGAGCATCGACCAGGAAGCCTTTCCGACCCGCCAGCGGAACCGTGCTCGTCAGCATCCAATTTGGCAATGGCTGCTGCTGCAGCCGCTGCGACTGCCCAATCTTTAATG